CTGCCTCGCACAGCCTCGTTGTCGAACAGTCTGTCCTCGGCGGTATTTCCGAACCGATAGGACTTAGGGTCCTTCAAGAAGCGAGCCTATCATTTTCTCAAAAGCTGGCAATGCATCTGTGGTTCCTCTGGTGTTACGGATATCCATGGGCGTCGTTGACCACATCGGTGTTCTCGCCGCTCGTTTGTCTCCTTTTACTTAAAAAAAAGTTAGTATCCGTGTTTGTAGTTCAGTACCATCGAAGTTAAATGTAGGATGGTCATGTTAAAGACATTTTCACAGACGTTCATCGCAATTAAAATATAAGTGAAAATTTACGAATGTTTTCACTGATGTTGTTTTGATAATGTCGCATTATGCTTGATTTATGATGGATTATTTAATAAGATTAATTTTAAAATGATTTATTAAGTACACGTTTATATTATTCATTGCATAAACATGTTTGTTTAGTTAAATTTAGTATACTTATTGATTACCTAATACCTAAATTTCTTAGAGCGTCGCATCGCAAAATAGCAATAGACAATTTTGCAAATTACTAGTGGTTACCCGCACTATTTCCGGCGTGGAATAAAAAAATAGCCTATGTTACACATCAGCTACCTTCGAGTAAAACTCTCGACAAAACCAGTCCAATTGTTTCGTTGATAATAAAAAATAGTTCTTCGTTATAAAGATGACCAAAAGAATATGCTTGTGGAATGTAGTTTTACCGATATTTCATAAAGACATTCTTATTTTATTAACCGTATAGTTACTAGAAGTGACTGCAGTGAAATGCAGTTTCATTCAAAGACAACAATTTATCAAGATTTTACGATACATCAACATCATATTCACTGAGACTTAAGCCGTTATAAGATTACATTTGGTAGCTTTTGCCCGCGAATCCGTCCGCACGGCATTTTAAAAAAAACAAAAGTGATTATGATATGTTCTTCCAGACTATCCTCTACATCTATGCCAAATTTCATCGAAATCCGTTCAGCCGCTTAGGGTACAAACTCTAACAAACATACATCCATCTAAACTTTCACATTCATAATATACTAGCTTTCGCCTGCGACTCCGCCCGCGTGGTATTAAAAAAAAGTAGCCTATGTGTTATTCTAAACTATCCTCTACATCTATACCAAATTTCATCGAGATCCCTTCAGTCGTTTAGGCTACAAACACTATCAAACTCCATCCATCCATCCATCTAAACTTTCGCATTTATAATATTAGTTAGATATAAAATTAGTAGGATAAGATGTTAAAATACAATGTTTCAAGACAGGAAAGGTTATTTTTAACATACAATACTTTTCGAGAAAAAATAAGTTTCTCGTATTTTATATCGAGTAGGACGTGCTTACATTATCTCATACAGAACATTTACTGAAGCCCGGGGGACAGGTAAAACGTCTACGCGCGCCGACTTTGAGTCCGCTCGTTTAGTAAAAATCATATCAAGTTTAGCAATTTTGTACCCTTTTTAGTGTAGTATATTTACGATATATCTGCTTTATATTTCTTACCTTTTAATAGAATTCTAACAGCCTTTCCCACCACTGGCTGATAGAGTCTTAGATCAAAATCCGATATTTCTATCACATATTTTACACGTCGGATTACTATGAGGCAATTCACAATTTGGTGAGACAGGCCCTTGTTCTTTTAAATCTACTGTCTTATTTATGTTGATTATTAACTGCAGGATGTGAGGTGACAAGCCAAAGATAAATATGTACAGAATTTAGACACCAAGACATAGATGATTTTAATGACCAATATTACTGTCTGCGTGTTATAATTGATTTATTCTGTATCCATAGATCGCTTTAAAGTCCTATTTTTCTTTAAAACAACAATGTATGTTTCTTTTTAGATTATCGTGGAATTAATGGCAAGCGGTTGTCAGTTATCTTCACTTGTTCGTTTACGGAATTACTTGACGTCAATAATAAAAGCAACTTCCTTTTTATCATTTCCTCTCCAATAGTATTTTCTTAGGAAATACATATCAAATAATTCTCAAAGACAAGGCGACTACAAAATGATTACAAGCACGTATTCAATTATAATGTTTTATGACTTAATTAAAAATGTAATAAAACAATTTGAGTTATCTTTTTTTAATATGATAAAGCCACGTTTTGGTATACTAAAACATCGGGGGAAATATATCATCTCGTAATCGCTAGCCAATATTTGATAATCTTTATTATAGTCTTAGTGAAATCTCACATTTTACAATCTTGTTATCTGTTAGATAGCTACTTTTTATTAAATTCGCGTCTGATCTGTTTATTGACATACTAGTATAAACTATCAACGGTAACACAGGTAAGAAATAAACAATGTACTATTAAATTATAATCTATTAAATTTTCTTTAAAATTTATTATTCTTTTAGGTTAAAATATGAAGGTGTTTATATTTGGATTATTACTGGCATTCGCCAATGCTAGTCCATTACCTTTGGATGAAGAAGTCGATGGACCAGTAGAGTTTATTGTCAACGGCGTACCTGAAGGAGAAGCTTTAGAAATCGGTCACATTCTTGATATTCAACTAAACAAACATGCCGATGGGCAAGTAGTCGCTTCATCTGACCTTCTATACCCATTAACTGCACAAGGGTTGGCTGATATTGCATTGGCACAAGAAAACACACCCGAAAGACCTGATGTTGAAGGTTTACCTTTACCAGAATTACTTGAACCTTCTCCGGAAGTAGTCGTCCCCGGTCCGATAGTTCTTCCCATGCCGGTTCTTCCTGAAGTACAACCTGAACCAGAAGTCGTCCCCGGTCCGATTATTGTTCCCATGCCGGTTCTTCCTGAAGAACAAGCTGAACCAGAGGTCGTTCCCGGCCCGATTGTTCTCCCCATGCCAGTCCTCCCTATAGTACAACCTGAACCCGAAGTGGTAGAAGAATCCGTACCTCAGATCCCCAATGGTGAGATCTTCAACGACGGTAATGTGCAAGTCATTGTCAATGGACCCGAACAGCCCAGTGTGCTCTCATCCATCCAAAGCTGGTTCCAAATGGTCCTGAACTACTTCAGCAACGGCGTGCAAACCTCGCAGCAGATATTCTAAATTTAAAAGGCTGTTTTGTAATCTGTTTTGTAACTTTTGTAAATATCAATAAAACCGACAACTTTATACCAAAACCGAATACGAATTTCTGAAACATTTTCAATAAGGTTTTTTTTTTAATTTTTATTGTCCAATAACAACAACAATTATTATTTTTTATGTTTTGCAACATAATTAAGTTATGCTATCTTCATACAGAAATAGTTTGTTTCTGTGACATATAGCAAAATCTTAAAAAAACAATATTGCCAAATGAAATACTGCGCAATCATTGAGATACCATTACTACGCAATTAGGCATAATTGTGCGGCAGTGGAATATTTTGCTATGTCCAGACTTTTAATTTAACAAGCTATGGCCAGCGACTCCGTCGGCGTGAAATTAAAAAAAAACAAACAAAAGGATAGCCTATGAGTTCTTCCAGATTATCCTCTACATCTATACCAAATTTTATCGAAATCCGTTCAGCCGTTCAGGCTACAAAGTCTAACAAACATCTATTCATCTAAACTTTTGCATTTATAATATTGGTAAGATTATATTTGACATTACGAGTAAAGATGGCGTAAAGATAAATTCAATTATGTTGGATATATTACATATGAGCACTCCTAGAAATATGACAGTCATTATGACCACTGTTAAAATATTCAGAAGGCCATGAGGTCAAAGTCCTCAGTTTGAACATAAACATTTTCCGCTTTATATTTAATTTAAATCTTCATTAATCTGAACCAAGTCCCTGTGGTCTAAAACATCTTCGCCGCAAAACATAAACTATTCCACAGGGCCAACTTAATGTTCCTCGGTTTGGCATATTTTCAAATAAGTTTTCCCAAGTTCGGCTACTTAGCTCGTTAGCGCGCAGCGTCCTCAGTCACCTAACTTCGAATACATCGCCATTTTTCGAAGTTTATAGCTATAGTATTCAAGTTTGGTTTCCTTTATTTACATATGGATATTAGAATAGTATTGACAACTTTAAATGATTAATGCAAGCTTACAAGCATAAGAAAGTAATTGTATGTTGTAGAAATCTTACTAATATTATAAATGTGATAGTTTAGATGGATGGATGTTTGTTAGAGTTTGTAGCCCGAAGTGATAAACGGATCTCGATGACATTGCGCATAGATGTAGAGGATAGCCTGACAGATTTTAATTCCACGCAGACGGATATGGACGAAAACAAGTTACACATTAACACAATGATGAAAACCGTTACTATTTAAACCAAAGACTTAAGACAAGCCTACGTTTAGGTCATCTATAATTTTTATTTGAATACAACGCACTGTATAAGTTGTGGTTGTTTTAATAAGTTTTTTAACAATCCCAAACAAAGCGGGCAACACGCTCGGCCGTCACGCGAGCCGTTAACACGCCACTCTTGCTCGATTAAACCGCAGTGCTCGCCCGCTCGATTACAATTCTGCACCATTGTCACTCCTCGACATTGTCACTACTGTTCTAATAATACTGATTACACCACTAAGTAGCTGCAACATATAACTATTTTTGTCAATAGATGTGACGTCATACCACTGTTGTGAAAGAGCACCACAAGATCACAACTAAATACGGCACCGTATTGTTAATAAACATCTTAGAGTTTGGTGTTAAAATATGTATGGTATACTCGTAGTTGCGTTGCAAATGAATTTATCAAAAGGTGTAAAAACTATAATACTAGTTTTTTTTAAATAGTGATACTACATAATTAAATATGTACCCAATCATATCATATCATATATCATATAAATATTATAAATGCGTAAGTTACGATGGATAGATAGATGTTTGATAGTGTTTGTAACCTAAACGGCTGAACGGATCTCTATGAAATTTGGCACAGGTTTAGAGCATAGTCTGGAATAACATATAGACTACTTTTTATCCCGGGAACAGTTACGGTTCCCGTGGGATTCACTAATTTAGTTTTTTAATGTTTATTCGATCATTCTGCAACGGTTCATCATATCTTATTGAAATTTGGCACAGACATAAAACAGTCTGGAGTACACAAGGGATAAGGTTCCCGAGGGATAAGAAGCGTTTTGTTTCGATCGTTCGTATGTTTTCTAATACCACGCCGACGAAGTCGCGGGTAACAGCTAGTCTCATATATTATTAAGTAGGTAAATGATTATTTCTTTCTTGGCAAAGGAAGTTATGGAAAAACCCATAGCGTGTGATGGGTTTTGGAGAAAACAATGTCCAATGAAACTAAAATTACCGGTAATCTATATACAAAACTTAACCCTCAAAATTAGTTTAATGTAAATGATGGCGAGATTAAATAATTAATTTTTAAATTGTAAGTTAAAAGTATTCTCAAGATAAGCCAGAGCAACTACGTGTTGAGTTTATAAATATTTATCTTAGCTAGGTAAGCCTGGATTTGTCCCTAATGCTTAAATCCCAGTGCACTGGACACTGTAAACATGAGTTACGGATTTTCAGTTGTTGTAAAATAAATGTTCACTCGCTTATCACAAGTTGGATAGAATTGTTATTTTAATATTTATTCCTTTATATATTTTAAATGTAAAATATCCGTACATAAAAACAGTCTACCCCAATTCTATAAATAGGAAAGTAAAATTTTCATAGTATGTTAAAAATATATTGATTTTAAACTCGAATTTATCGTGTTCTTAAAAAGCTATTTTGCAAAATAAATATTTCAATTAGAGATTGTTTAGTTGATGAGAATTATATTTCTTTTCCACATTCATGGCGAAAGTCTAGGTATAATCTATTTTGCTATGACGTAAATGTGGTAAATGCATTTTCATGCTTGTGTCAACTTAATTTTCATCGGCGGTAGTCGGAGACGGCACGTAGAATGTACATGTACGTATTTTTAAGTCACATTTAAAGAGCATACCCAAAGTAAGTGATATGCATTAGAATTTTAAATATGTTTTTGACAGTAGTAATAATTGATTATTATATTTTATGTTATTTCCAGTAATAAGTGTAATAAGTAGGATACAATAATCTACTAAAATTAACAATTGAAAAACCGAATGCATATAACGCATGGTAAAATGTAATATCTCCGTAGCACGGCGTAGCCCGTAGCGATGCTGACGCACTCCCGGCCCGTAGCTGAAGCGACTTGTGTAGCCATTGCCCTCTACGTACGCATTTTTTTTACAAATATTTTTCTTTTCACTTACATTTTGTTCAACACGGTTGAGTTCACATAATGCTTACTGTTACAATTTGATCTACATTTAAAAGCATATAGATTTAAATAAATAGATTACTTACTATGTGCTTAAAAATTATTTCGAAACTCTAGTATAGACAATGAATTTATGTAAGAAAGCTAATAAAGTCATCGTAAAGTTGTTTAGAACTGTCCGTCTGTCGTTAACTAAGGCTATTTATAAGCTGGCAGCGTC